AAATACAAGAAAAAATCAGTGCAAGAATAAATGAAAAATTGGAGTAATAATAATGCATTAAGAATAGAGCAAAAATACATAATTAGAAAAGTACAGTTAAAAATCAAGAACAAATACAAATTGCAGTAAAAATACTCGAAAAATTGGAACAGAAATGCATAAAAAAATCAGTGCGATAAATGAAAAATTGGAGTAATGATATATCAAAAAATTAGAGCAAAGGTACATGAAAAATTAAAGTAAAAGTACACGATCAAAATTAGAGCAAAACTAAACGAAAAATTGGAGTAACAATGTATCAAAAAAATTGGAGCAACGATACACAAAAAATTATAGCCAAAGTGCCGTAAAAAAATCAAAGCATAAATAAATGAAAAATACGAGCAAAAATGTATAAAAAATTGAAACAAAAATGGACGAAAGTGTCAAGATAAATCACTCGGACTTCGATTTTTGTAAACTATCAATTGATGCCGATCGTAGTTTACTAAGTTTACTTGACTTCTCGAAAATGAGAAGTCAAGCGAGGAGAATAGGAGAATACGAGAACCGGTCAAAGATCGAGGCTTCAGTCAGTTTCAATGAATCATGTTTACGGGAACGAGCGTCATGACGGGTGTTACACGAATCGTCGTAACTCACCTCCTCGAGGGACGTGATGGTCTGCCTGCACTGTGGCATTCGTGAGACGAAAGTGGACGTGGTGGGCGAGTTGTAGTCCTCCCTCGTCTCTTCGACGAACTCGCTCACGGCGATCAGGCCCGGCATCTTTCAGCCCGTTCTCGTTTTCCGTCAGTTGTTCCGTCTCCCGCCGTCCACCCCACCCCTCCCCCCAGCGCCCAGCTGCAAGCGAGGCTGTCCCTTCGGCGGATCGCTTCTCGCCACCGCGACTCCCCCTTGCTCGTCTTCCTCGTCGTCGCCGTCGCGATCGTCGTTGCCGGCGTCCGCGCGCACTTTTACACTTCGCGGACACCGTTCACTTCACTTGTCTCTCACCATAAATTCCGCGGGGGATACCCCGATCACGTTTACCGCCTCTCTGTGACGAACGGTATAAAACGTCGTCCCGGTACGGAAGAGTGATAGCGAGCGAGATAGAAAGAGAGAGAACACGGGTGTGCGTATGCTTGAAGGAAAGAGGGCGCAAGAGAGAGAGAGAGAGAGAGAGAGAGAGAGAGAGAGAGAGAGAAAGACAAAGAGGAATGAATGAGGAGGAAGCGTGATAGAGAGATTCGAGCAGCGTGTCCGACGGCCACCACCTCTCCGTGTCCGCGCAGAGAGGGAGAGCGAAAGAGTGAGAGACACTCGCGGGACCGGTGGCGTGATTATTTTCGCGACATAATCGCGGCGAGCCACCAGCCGTCGCGGAGACGCATAACAGCAACAACACAGCGGCAACTCGCTCTTTTCGTTAGCGAGGAGCGCGGGTTACCACGCATACATACATACGCGCATGCACACCGCCGCGGCGAACGAACAGACCGACGGACCGACGCGCATAAATACATAAAAACAGAGCCGCGCGCGCGCGCGCGGACGCAGACCTACCGTCCACGGGGATGCTCCTTTGCACTTCAATCTCGCACCTAATCGCGCATCCTAACCACCTCGGTCGGTGCCGAGTACCGCCGAAACACTCGCGACTGCGGCCGAAGTTTCACTGAGGCGGCGCTGCCGACGCGCGCGCGACGACCGAACCTTCGCCACGAAACGAAGCGTATTCAGAGCGATCATCCACCGTAGCGGATGGCGACGATGACGATGCGGCACCGTTAGATGGCGGCACGCGAAAAATAGCGGGAAATTGAAAAAGGTGAACGAATGCTTCACGATTTAAAATTTTAGGACTGGCGAACATTTATGAGAATAAAAATAATTTTAAGACAAAAATTGGCGGATTTATATTCTAGTCGTAAAATAATCGAAAATCTAATATTTTTTCTAAATCTAATCTTTTTTCGACTTCTAATTTTTTTTTCTAGAATTTCTAGAATTGGAATATATATATTTGATTAACAAAAAAAGATTTAGCTATTTTTTGCCAAGTTCTTTATAGTGTTTTAAGATGCTAATAATATCACTATGAAATCAATGATCAATTTAATTGTGATATTATTTCAGCTTCAATTTATGCATTTCAAGTAGCGGCGTACAGTTTATGTAACTAAAAGATGTACCTACTTAGAATTTACATACAAAAATATTATTGTATATCTGCATCCTCGACCTCTTTTTCCTTGCTTATTTAATTTAAAAATAATTTGTTTAATTTTGATATTGATACAAATTACAATTAAATTTCTTGTATATTTGTATCATACGACAGAAATTTTATAAATTATATATAACAAGGTTCAAATATATTTATATCTATATTAAATGCTGTATTCTATTACTATTATAAATCACTTTTTTCTGCACATTTCGATAAAACTTGAAAAAGAAATACATGTCTTGCATAAACGCAATATGGAGAAGAAGGTATTATATTTTAAACAGCGTCAATTGCTAACTGAATCTTTCCAAGCATTTATTTATTAAAATTGTCTAGTAGGTTTGCTATAGAAATATATTTTGCATATAATGTAACAACTCTAATATTCTGAATATTCTGAATATCTCCAATTGTGCAAAAAAAAAAAACGAATATTGTTAAAAATCTGATTAAAGCCAGATTCTAATAATAGAAACTTGAAATTCTTGGATATTATTCAGCAAATTTAACAATGGTAAAATTGTGTTTATACAATAAAAAAACTAAAATTCAAGTATTTAAATGTTTTATTACAGAAACATAAAAGAATATTACATTACAACTTCCTGAAGCTTGAGTTGCTTTTTGCTCTTAGCTTTAACTTGTGCAGCGATTCGATCCAAGTCCCTGCGTCCTTGGCTAGTCAATTTGCGTCCACCAAGGGGTGCCTTCTCAATCAGTTTCAACTGCTCCAAGCTTTGGAGTGCCTTGCGAGCGACACCACCTGCCGATCGGCAGAAGTGGCTGGGATGGGTGCCGTTACGTTTGCGTCCACCAAAGATCTTGGTAACGGCACCGACTCCGATTGGGCTACGAATATAGATATGACGCACCAGGGCTGCACATCTGATGTAGTACCAGTCAGGATCATAAGGAGCCAGTTCCTTGAATTTCGCCGTCTTCACAATATCCACCCATTCTGGAACCCGCATTTTGCCAGTTCTAAATTTTTACAAAGTCGAATTACAAAATATATCATAGCAAGTACATAGATTGCTTTCCTTTTAAAAAATAGTCGACACACAAACGTCATTTTATCTTTCTCGGCATTTAACGAACAACGAAAGTAGAATGATACTTGTGTCGACGGTGTTTCTTAAAAGAAAAACGGCCAAAGTATACAATTATTTTTGCAACATACAACGTGGAGTAGAAATTTTTATAAAAGTGAATTAAAATAATGTAGAAAAGAATTAACAGTAATATTAAATGATAAAAAATAAAAAATAATTCAATATGTTTCAAACATTACACATGCATGAGAGAGGGTAGGTTATAGTTATAGGTTAGGATTTTTATTCACTAGTATTTTTACTTACTTTTTGAGAAAGGCTGCGAAAGCCTTCACAAATTTTTGCTGATCGACGTCCTTTAGTGTTACAGACGGCATCTGAAAGGAAAGTTTAATTTGATAAAATAATCAATACATGAAATAGTGCACATGTACACAAATCATATGTGTAAAATACAAATTAATGCTCTGATCCTAATAATCGGTAAAGATAGTAAAAGCCACTAAATTGATATGTTTCTTATTACACATTTTCATAAATTGTTCACTAAAAACAACTTAAATTGCAAAAGAATTGTCAACATCACGCACCTTTGCGAGAATACAAACCGGAAAGAGCAAAGCCCAAGTAGCAAAGGAAAGGCTAGGATTCCATTATACGAAGCGACAGGCGGAAAATTCAAAAAGTCCGACAAATGGTTTACGATGGCTGCGGTCCATTTGACGCTACAAACGCTTCGAAGCATTCTTTGATTAGTCAATTCATAAAATTCTCTATTCTGATTGGTCGCTCAAACGCAGCCGATATCATGTTTCTGAAATAAACATCCTGCTTACATGAACGTTAAACAGCTGAGATAAAAGCAATGTCTCATAAATAATTAAATTAACTCTTTCAGGTATTAATTTATTAAATTTTAAAATCATATATAATACATATATATATATATAGACTACACAAATTTAGAAAAGATTTCATATTTTATTGTATATAGGCTGTGATCCAAAATTGACTGCCAGTACTGAAAATCTATAGTGCACGTGACATAAACTATAGCATTTTCAGTGTTGCAGTAAATTTGGAACATAGCCATAGTATATATCTTTTATATTAAATATTATTAAAGAATAAGGAATTTAATATAAATATCTGAACCTCGTCTACATTAGCATAATTTATAAAATTTCTGAAATGCTTAATTAATTACAATTTTGATATTTTAAATTTTAAAAATATGTTTTAATTTAAGAAACTCCTAAATATAAAAACTATAAATTCCATTATTTTTTGTATTAATATAATTTTATATAAAATGTTAAATAAAATTTTAAATAAATTGCAATAAATCGACTACTGCATACTTTATTTTATATTAGTGCTCTCATATTTCGTTTTCTAAAACTGGCTAAATTTTCCAAATCTATCATAATATGCACTTCCGAAAAATGCTAACAAGTGTTAACCGGAAATAGCTATCAAGATAGTAAAGTATTAGAAGAACCAGGATTATATAATTTTCAAGATAAGCGATTATCTCAAAAAGGCGTGATCACATGATATAAATATCTGCACATTGCTCGATAACAAATGAAATTCACATTTGTCTCATTGATAGAAATAATGATTTCTCATAATTCAACAATCAGCGAATGACGCGACATGACAAACTGATACGATTAAAATGATGGCAAAAGATAATCGTGTTACGCAATGTTGCGGAATACGAAGCGAGAGGATATAAATTGAGGGGAATGCAAGTAGTGGAAGCGTGTTGTTGTTATCGTCGGTAGTTATGCGCAGCGCTACGTGACGAGACGGGGAGTGACTTCAGACATTGGCTTTATATAAGCGAGTTATGATCCGTAATTTGTACCGAGTATCATCACCGATTCTATGGAGAAATGGGATACGTGAGAAACATGCCATGGTTGACGTTCTGACGGAACGCGTGCCCTTTTCGAAGGATTTTCTGTTTCGTCAGGTAACATTCGCGCGAGGGATTAAGCTGGAAACACAATAGACACAGGCAACAGGAAATAACGAGCAGTCCAATCAGAGCTCTGGGATATAATATCGAACTTATATCCCAGAACTCTGATTGGACGGCTCGTTATTCCCTGTTATCTGTGCCTATCGCCTGTGCCTATTGTGTTTAAGGCTTAAGTCTGATAAATTGACTAACCGGCGATCCGGCGCATGTCCAAAGAACTCGCCTTGCAACGTCATCTGACGAGCAGTGTTTTAAGGTGGTTCGATCATACATTCAAGATCGTCTGGTCACTCTGATCATAAATGGATTCGTACGAACTTAGCCGATAACGAATTTCTTAAACAATTTCCTTATGAAATCGTTTACATTTTATAATATATAAAAATCTTTAAAATGTAATTAAAAAGATCTGACAATATTTAGGTAATTTTAATTAATAATTAATTAGTTCTTTTTATACATAAGCAATTAACTGATAAAAATTAATTAAATAAAATTTTTGTATGAAATTATATTTTGTATAAGAGGTTTTGTAATAAATAATTCAAAAGATTTGACTTATTTAAATTTAAATTGAATATTTTTAATTAAATTATGTAATGTAATTAGCCGACATTCATCAGCTAATTGCAAGTTCGTTCGAATTATGATCTTTCGGTCGATGAAATGACCGAACCAAGCGTACTTAAAATGATTTTAAAATTGATGTTAAAATTGGAAAGCGACAGCCTTAGTCGCTTCTTCTCACACTTTTCATATATAAAGATAAGAGAGACTTCGACTGAACTTTGATTAATAACTTACTTAGCGATAACTTTAATAAAATTAATCCTTTTTAATAAAATTTTATAATCCAAATTTTTGAATTCTTAATTCTTTTTTTAAATAAAATTTTTAATCCTTAAAATATGATATGAGTTTTTTTATTTTAGTCTTGAAATCGTTTTGGAAATCGATCTTAATTTTGAAAATTTATTTACAAATAGCTTGATTAATAATTTTTACGTCTAATTCATAAATTTACAATTTTAAAAGAAAAAAAAAGAAAAAGTATGAAGAACATTATTGGAAAGTATAAAAATGTATTTTAAAGGAACAGATCTCGGAATAGGTTTAAGATCCATTTTATGTAGAGCTTTAAATAAAATGAATATATATTTGATATTTTAAAAGAAACAGAAAAAGGAAAGTATTGTAACATGATATAGAAAAGTATAACTAAAAAAGATAGACCTAAACTCTGTTTCCTTTTCTCTGCGTTGGCTGCATATAAAATAAAGCAACTCCGTATCCTGGATTTCGAGGGATAACAGAAGGGATTGCAGAAAAATGTAGAAAAGCGCGGTCAGGGAGAACATTGACATTCGCGTTCGCATTTGAAACATATTTGAAATAACCTTGAAAGTGGCGAACTTTACATCCGAGAATTTACTCGGATTGCAAAAATTTTGATGTAGAAAGTGCAAGTATCTCCGACTGACTGAAATATCTCAAGAGAGAATTTTTTTCACAAATATGAAACAAACTTTTTCTAACAAAAATGTCACGAAATTTTTCATAACTTCATAATTTTATTATACGTTCTATATGTCATAATACTAACGAATACGTTTTAAGTAAATTCTCTCTTTTTTTACTCTTTTTCACTCAGCACTGTTTACCGCAATGGTTTTCAACACGGTGTGTTCTTTGATCTGCATCGTTTCTATAATTTTCTATACTATACTGGTCAACCGTAACTGAATACATATTTTTTTTTCCATGGAGCTTTCACCGTTTACAATTTCAACAGACGTTTGAAACGGTTTGAACGAAAATTTAATTTACCGGTTGGAAAGTAATCGGTTTTGAGTTTATCTTGACGTATGGAATGCGAAATATTCATCATTGTTTTTAAGCTTGTTAGTTCCCGCGTAACAAGATTATATTGCAGCAAAATGTAACATTAATATTAGAAGTTGCAGTAAATATACTACCTGCTTGAAAATGGCCAAATGAATGAATTTGATTCAAATTCGTTTTCGCAACGAATATGGATAAAAGGTCATGTCGATGTAACAAAGAAACTATGACAAAAACCGTTATATTTTCGTTCATATCTGGTTTTATACTCAAAGCAAAGCGCATTTCGTTTTTCGGTAGACTTGAAGTCAGAATCGGATGAAAACGCAGGTGAAATATGACTAAAAACAAAAATGATTACACATCCGAATTATTCCCAGAAAAAATTCAGTACTGACTGGATTAATGAATGTGTTGCGCGTTAACATTGGGAAAAAAAAATGTAAAAAAGCATTTTGTTTTTCATTTGCGCTTCGTGAAAATATAGTTTTATACAGTTTCGTGTATTTTCAAAGAATTATATTTTCTGCTGTCCCCTTGCCTCCTGCACATCATACACAGGGTTGGTGCGGTGCAATTAAACGTGTGACAGGATTCAAAATGTACAAATCGTTGTTAAACGACGTTGCAAAATGTGGACGCATTTGTTTGTTGCCTGCAATTGATTATCTTATCTATCGTATTTTTATTTGGTTTGTTCAGAATCGAAATACATGCACAGTAAATATTAAAAATATGGAATTTTATCATTTCCTTTGCGATTTTTTATCGCGTATAATGTAAAATATCATATGGATATGTTTACATCATTTCTCGCTTCCCAGTGAGAAATAACTCATCGATGTTGAATCGACATCGATACAACGATTTCGACATTAATTCGACGTCTAATTGACGATCATTTTTCGTTGATTATCTTATTACGTTTATTTCTTTTCAGCGTTTTAATGTATGCACCGCACATGTATTTAATCAATGCTATTTGTAATAACGTAATTATAAAGACATAGTCACGAGAATTATATTGTCATTAAAACGATAATAGTATGTCATTTATGTTATAACATAATACGGATAATGTAATTTTAAATCGGGATGATTGTTAGGAAGAGTAATGAATAATTATTTAAATCTCTCCAGCTTTTCGATCCAGGATCCAGTACGTACACGTATTTACTAGCCGATATCAGCGATAAGGAAGCGATTTTAATCGATCCGGTCATCGAATGGGCTGATCGTGACAAAACAATCGTCGAGGAGCTGGGATTAACGTTGAAATATGCCCGTGAGTTACCAACCGAGATCATTATCTCGTCCGTAAATATTGCGGTTTGCGAAAAATAGCGAAAAAACGACGCGCGGAAGTGTCGTGCAGTTTTTCGTATCATTCGATATTATTTAGTCGGACTATGTGTACTCTGCATGTTACACTCGAGCTCGATTACACGTGTAGTTTACCTGCATATATTTTGTAAGCAAATTTGAATTTTTGTGAAGTAGTAGCGCGTTAAAATAGTACCATGTGAATATTTATAATAGCTGTTTACTTTAAAAAAATACACTGATCGTTTTAGAAGAGTTCTATTAAAGAGCCATTATTAGATTTGAAATATCGGTTCAAATTCGAAAGCGTTACTTCAACTACGAAATTTCAGAAAACTTCCTAGAAATATCTACTGGATGTTAAGCTTTACATATCGACGTTTATTGCCCTTTTAACTTTTACAACTCGTGAAGTGCCAAATCAATATCGATAGCCACTTCCACAACGTTATGTGTAATAGAATTTTTCCAATTTTCTGGTTTTTTTTATTTCGCAAGTTTTGACGTAACTGAACGTTCTGAAATGTTTCTCAACCGTATCGATCAACGCATGGTTGATAAGAGTTATTGAGATGTTATTTCAAAATACAAAGTGCAATTATTAACATTGCATAATATTAATCATTCTGCAATTGTAGAAACCTAACATTTATTGACGTACTCAACCCGTAAAACACTCGAATCGATAACTAATTAATTACGTACACTAATTAACAACAAAACGTATTATCTTATCGACGTCGTTATTCGATATCGTCGGAAATGTACTTGTCGGCAATTACGCGATGCCCCGTGCCGTGATTTACGAGCTGAGGGCGCAGAGTTATATCGCGAACTATCCTACTAACCGACCAATATTTGCCGAACTTTGTAATGAATTAGCATGCAATCCTGCCGCTGCTAAGGACGGTCGTGGACCCCGCATAGTTTCGCCATTGTCCCGGGGGTTAACACGCCCGTGGACCATAAACCCGGTGAGAGTGCGCTCGGGCATATTGTCGAACTTCGCCAATTTCGATAAAGAACTTCGACTTCGGCACGAGCCGATACGATTTCGCGGCCACTGTATAATTCCCAAGTGTATCGTCACGAGAGCATTATTTCAACAAATCGTGCTTATCGTGCATGAGAACGGATTTGCATGAAAATTAATTAAGTTTAATCCTTGATTGAAAGTTTGACTAATCAGCAATACAGCTGTTGAAGCTATATTCTGCTATATTATGCTACAGTCTGCTAATCGAAGTAATAATAAAAAAGAAAGAAAAAAAGGTAATTTCGAAATGTTGGCAAAAATCTAGATAGTGAAATGTGTTACACTTAAATATTGTAGGGACATCTCTGTAAACAGTAAAAAAATCTGATATAGGATAACATATAAGTTTGGCCACAGAGTGTTGTGTTTATCAAATTATTAGTATATTTAATAAAAAACTTTGGAGTATGTTAATTATATCTTAAATATATACTACAATAAATACAAAAAATAATTAACATTCAAAACAGCCAACTATTTTTAACTTTAATATAATAAGCTTTAAGGTGTTTTAAGAACTCAATGATGGACGCGTATTTTTCCACGGATAAATTCTTTCAGAGAGTTTATTCCAGCCAACAGAGCGGTCCTCAGTTCATCAACCGATGAAAATCTTTTGGTGCAGTCTTTTTAGTAGTCTATTTAATAGGATGTAATTAATACTCTCTCTCTCTCTCTCTCTCTCTCTCTCTCTCTCTCTCTCTCTCCCTTTAGAATTTGTTCTCTTTTTAATACTGCGTTATTAGCAAATTGATTGTTGTATACTTAATTATTTTTTGTACTTACTTATTTTTATGGTAAAATGACGACAAATACTACCTGGATAATGATTTGATAAACACGTAAAATTTTGTAGTTAAAACTTTTTTCCTGTGTATGCTATTAAACACAGATTTAATATATAGTAAATATCTTTAAAAAATTTAAATGCATTATCAAAATTTAAACATAGAATGTAAACAATTTTATATATTATGATCTTTGTGTTTTTTTTCCTTTTTAAAGCATTTTAATTTCTAATTGTTATTAATTTCAGGGTCAAGATAAATTAGCATCTGCCCCTACTTGCGCAGGCAGCATTAATCCTTTCGAAATTTGCACCCTTAATGGCATGGGCGAAGGGATTTTCGGTTCGGCAAGAAGGGACAAAGTTTACGACATCGTATAATATATCACGAAAAAGGGTTGATAGGATTACCTTATTACTTATTGTATTATTGTATTATCAAACCGCGAAGTGGTTTTTACGAGAGATCGCTTTGGCTAAGTGGAACGTATGCACTTGTTTATGCGGAACTCTGCGTGTGCCAATTCTGTCCCGAACAAACAGACATTTCCATAATACGCCTCTCTCTATTTTCCAATAATGCAAACGCTATTAATGCCGCCCCACTCCCGTAAAACTATGCGCATTATTCGTAACTCAGTCATACAAAGAGAGCGAGGCCGCTAATTAGATTAATAGATTTAACGTAATTTAGTTATCTATTGAAGCTGAATTATATCCACACGGATATTTGTGTATGCATAATAAAAGTTTAAAAATAACGTACGAACAATTTCAGAATTTTCGACATTAATTTTAGACTTTTTAATCAATATCGAAGCATCAATTGTTCGCTACTTTTTAAGCCAGTATTATATAAATATCTTTAAAAATTAAAATCCTACTATTTTTTACAATCATCTTTAAATCATTTATCAAATTTACAACGAGATATTGGCATAAATTTTAGGCATTAAAATTTCGTGACTATCATTTCTATATTGGGATAATCGTATGCCACTTTTCTCGGTTAAGTGACGCCCTGTAACATATTATGAAAACATATTATGTGATCGCGATTTTGCGCGGACTCGGCACTTATCATTATTTACCAGCATTTGCTGGTAACAATGGCTGCGTTCAGCAGAGAAAACTAATTAGATAGCGCTTAGTGATTCTCCAATATAATTGGTTCCTACTTAGATCCAATGAAGAATTAAAGGCAAGAATCAATCATATTAAAGAATCACTAAGCGCTAACTGATTAGTTTTCTCTGCTGAACGCAGCCAATGTGTGCGTTTAAGTTAAGAGAGTTAAAGTTGCTAGTCTGCTCGCCGAGCGATTGAATGTGGTTGGTTGGATCTACAAGTAACAATCATATTCATTTGCTTGGCGAGCAGCCTAACCGCTTTGTCGACTTGAACATGCCCAATCTTTCTTGCTGTTGCAGTGAACACGCACATGCACGCAGACCACATCACCGGGACGGGCCGACTGAAATGCCTGTTGCCCGGCTGCAAGTCTATGATATCGCGTAGCAGCGGTGCTAAGGCGGACGTACTCCTAGAACCAAACGATCAAGTCCAATTTGGCAGGCATCAACTGAGAATATTGTCCACTCCAGGTCATACCGAAGGTATGGTTGAGAACATTCTCTCTTCGCATAGATTCGGCTTTGTTAGTAATAGTACTCTGGAGAACTCGTGCAGGGTGTTCGGAGAATTTATGCGCTGGAATTTTAGAATAAATCGATATTTATTAAAACCGGATTATATATCAACACGTATGGAAATTATACAATCAAAATTTTCAATATTTATGAAGGATCCCGCATTAATTATAAGGAAAATTGAGTCCCGGTGGAAAATGAGTTAGTTTTCACATATGATGTAGCTTATAACGCAGTGAATAAAAGATGACACAAAGATAATGGATAGTTTTTTAGCCTTGTGTCTATGACATCTTTTGTTCACCACATTATAAGTTACATTATATGTAAAAGGATTTAATCAATAAATAAAAAAAGGGCAACGAGCCAATTATACTGTAAGATATTTAATAATCGTACATATACAAATGTTTCGATACCGATCGGGTCATTTTCAATGTAAAACAACAAAACATTATTACATAAATTATTGGAAATTTTCGGTCACATTATAATGTCCAGTATGCGGTCCATATTTAAAATATCTTAAAGGTGATCTCATCTCACCTTTTACAATTCTTAAATTGTCTTAATGATGTAAGTTAGACGCCGAGAAGAAAACGCAATTAACAAAGTTATTTTTAATAAAAAATAAGCCATAATACTGTTAGATATATCCTCGACGATGTGCAGCGACGTTATGAAAAGGATTTAGATATATTATACTATATATAATTAGTAGACTCACAATCAATACTAATTATAAAATTATAAAATGAATTAGAATTTTTATATATAATGTTACTCATAACGTGAGGCGAACAAAAGATGACGTAAACATAAAACTTAATAATGGATAGTTTATGATGTATGGTGTCAAAGTGTAAAATTTGTGTTCACACCTTTCGTACATCATAATTCAAAAACTATTTATTATTGAATCTGGTCTCTATGACATTTTTTGTTCATTATACATTACATCGTATATAAAAACTAACTCATTTTACAGAAATCCAATTTTCCATATAATTATGGGCTCTGTGTAACATTTAAGGATTTCTAAAAATTACAATCTGAACCCCTTTACGAATTAATATCTTTTCTTCATTAGTTATATTTTCTATTTTATTATTTATTTTTATGTTAATTTTTAATGACTCAGATGTTCTTATTTAATGTTTTAAATTTTAGATGTATTAAATATTTTCGCGGTACATCTTTATACTGTTCCACTTTGCAACTCATTAATCTTTAGGATAGAAAGTGAAGAATAACTCGGGAAATCGATACGCGCTTAATTGACGCTATTAAAGTTATACATATTACTGGTGAAATATATAAAACTATTTTTTGTCGCTCGGAAAACGTAACTTTTGCTTTTGCCTATTTTTTCGTGCGGTAAAATATTGTACCATTGTCCATTTAGCTAGCATCCCACCATCACCTATGTGTCAGCTACATGGAGTGGTAAAATAGAGCACAACGCCGCCCTATAAGGGGCTAAGTGCATAGTGTATCATATTTGATACATACGTGGATTTCAGCGTTTTCTCGACATGTTCTGTGAGCTATTTCGCGTTACGATATATGTACGTATATGATATATTGTCTTGTTGAGTCTACGAGTGAAAAATGAGCCTTCGTATTTTTCCCTTTTCTTACCTTTATCATTTTCGAGAATTGTTTTGCTTGTTAATGTTCATTTTTAATAGTATAAATTATTTAAGTTTCGGTTTATTTAAAAGAAGAAATTGCTCTAGATTCTATTAAAATCACATTTCTTTTTAAGCTTTTCCTTCGAATACCACGACGTATTCTGTAAATCTTCATGACGCAATCTGGTTTTACGCGATTTTTAATGCGCTCGCGCGATGAATACAAAACACGACTTTCGAGTGGTGTAACGAAAGTTTCAGGGCAATAAATGTTGCAGGAAAGTTACAGAACACGTTCGTACACCACTGCGATATCGGGGCGTATTTCTTGCGATCGATCGTGCGTCCGCCCGGTCTATTATTTTATTAATTGAGATGCCGAGAAAAAATATGGCGAAATACTTTTTGTGAAGGCTGTGAGAGGCGGCTCTATTTTATACATGGATTGAAAAGATCAAAAATATAACGCGCGTTCGCGTTTCGAATGCAAGATCGATCTGATCAACTGCAGCTTCTGTTAAAAAGACGAACGCGTGCGAATTGTTAAATATTATATTTAAAACAGGGTTGGTAAAAAACATGTTTTAAATGTGTTTTAAACATGTTTTAAACGTGTTTTAAACAGTTTAAAACATGCTAAATGGATGTTTTTAATATGTTTTAAATATGTTTTTTTTATAGTACTGTTTAAAACATATTTGAAGCATTAAAAACATATTTAAAAAGAAACACACAGTACGTTTTATTCTTAAAAAAAAAAACATTAGTATTTACCAACCCTGATTTAAAATTACATTATAAACTCGATAATTTCTGACATGTAGATTACTTATTGATAAAAGAAGAGAGAAAAAATAGGAATATGAGAAATTATTACGATTTTAAATTTTAAACTTTGAAATATATTATTTATAATACGTTTAATAAGAAATTTTGTTCTATTCTCATTTTGTATAATACCTATTACTATTATACTACAATTTAATATTATTATATATAATTTTTTGTCGTATTCTTATGTCGTACAAATTTTCTAAAAAAGATTAAAATTTTATCTTAATGTTTCAGCCTTGTCTATTTTCTCATATTTTTTTTTCCTTTTTTTATTATCTTCAGAAGAAGAAAAGTATGTGCTGCATCCTTTTGAATTTTACGCATGTTGCGTATGAGATACGGTCTCTGGAGTGATTAACTTGAGCTGTTCTTTATTCAGGTTATATTGCAATTGCAATTTTCTGCACAGTTTTTTCAAGAGACATGTTCTTATATTGATATCCTTTTTTAGCATTGAGGAAATTTCACTTAGGTATATCAAAGTTTTCTTATATAGGTTATCCCTAAATTGATCTTCACTATTGAAAATAAACTTAAATCGATCAGCTTGAATTTTTTACTGAACTTTAGCAAAAACGTTTGATACGGTATCATTTTGTTTTGCTCATCTATTAATATTAAAGTTTGTAATTAATTTTTAAATTAAACTGTCACTGAAATAACCTATTTCATATTAAATAAAAACTATATTTATATCTAGTTTAGAAACTCAAAGAAGCTTACAAAATTTTTTTAATTGCTATTTGCTAATTAAAAAATTATTAATTTTTAGCGATGATATGAACAGCTTCTTTTTTTAGTTTTGTCTCAAATGTTTATGATATTCAGTAGCTTCGGAACATGTACACATTATATATGTACGCGTTATTGGAATTTATTGTACGGCGAAGCGAGATGAAAAAAGGGATACAGTCATTCTTATCGATCGTGCCGAATTCGCTACTCGTCACGGCTCAATCGTTTGTTCGGGAAAAATCCCGAAAGCGTCTACTGAGCTATGTATCTCGATTATCGAACTCGCTCGATAGGCTCGATTTTTCGTGCCGAATACGCGAATGCGTGCATTAAATACCTGCGGGTTAGATATTCGATATCAGCTTCATTCCTATACGCCGTAAAACTCCAACGATGCTGATTAAATTCCTAGATATTTCAGCTCTTTCACGGAAAATGCATCGCATACATTTGGCGAGAAAGGAAAATTGGTAAATATTTTGTAAAACACATACATACGTTACATACGTTACATGTGAATAACACAAATAATTTTAGTTGGAATTTAATTTTAATATCAGATTACATTTTTTTTAGAAAGTCATTATTATTGACCTAATCTTTACAAGATTGCTAGAAAAATAATTATCGTAATTCTATTATTGGCAAGTTACCGCACGCGTTTGCACAAAACCTTCCAATTATCTCACTTGATTCTAAATTATTTTTTATATCCGGAGGGATATAAAAAATACGAATTATGTTCTCTATGTCGGATACACCTACCTATTGCATGCCAATATTTTTCGAGCGAACGCCGCGTAATATATATGTTCGCAATTTCTTTCTTTTCCACCTTTTCTATTTTTCCTTTTTGCCGAATGTGATATCGCAAATGGAATGAACGAGCCGACGAGTGAGAGCTCAGTTTATCGTGCCGTCCGATTACGAAGCGAATCGCCGCGAAGAGATAAATACATATTTGGCTTGAAAAACGACACGATATTTGCCGGATGGCGGTCGAAGTGCAGTGAAGCACGATATCGTAAATATTCCATCTGATATCTGTGCAGGTTGCGTCACGTACGTTTGCGATGAGCAGGCAATCGCGTTCACGGGTGATGCGCTGTTGATACGGGGATGCGGCAGAACTGACTTTCAGGTAAGCTCAGCCCGGAAACTCACTAGAAAGGTCGTGTCTCTTTGCGGATACGCGTGATTATTGCACGTGATATCCGTGTCTTCGATCGCACATATGTGCGATTAAAGGGAACAACGGTGTCATATCTTCTCGTTCCGAAGAGCGAGAATGTCTGCGATAACATTTAATACAAAATCCGTTTACCTCGTTATGGGTATCTTCTGTGATCATAAAGGAAAGAAATGCGAGAAGAAATGAGAAAAATCTGAACTTTTATGTCGTGTAAAAGAAAAACTGAGTACACGGTGTTTCCTAGAATCTCCATCTTCAGTATTATTAACTCGTGCCATTCCGTTCTGGCTGATTTATCTCGAGATCTAGCTATAAATAAAAACTGACCAACAAACGAAACTCACAATTAGGCGACCATGTTCAGTGTTAAATGTGCGGTGAGAACAGTCCTCGGCAAGTTGGAAACCGTATTCACACTTTTTTTGCGGAGAATATACGATCTCCTACGCGGTTAATATTATTATTACATTTTTGTACTCTCGTTTTGCTTGCAATTTTTAACTGGTAACATATGAAGATCAAATTACATTATGGAATTAATTATAATTAATTAATCTACAGATTTTTTAACTTTAAAGATTTGTTTAAGGATGTATCATACATCTTTCTTAAATATATTATACGTATTTTTTAAATAAAAGAATTATGAAAAAATTAGATTTTTCTATATTGCATTTGTAAGAAAATAATACAAAAAGTTTGGTAGCGATTTAGAATCTAGATAAAAAATTATTTCAATAAGAAGTACACTTATTTATAAAATTATATTGTAAATATATAAATATTCATCTTATTGAACTGTTTTATATGTATATAATATTCATTTTTATACAGAAAGTATTAATTTCTAATTTCAGTCATTTTTTACAGTGATTCACTGTAGATACATCCTTAATAAAAACGAACAAATAACATAACTCTTTTATTTATAATATATTAATTTATTAATGTATTAATCAATTTTATTACAAATTATTCTTGCGATGTGAAGTTTAGTTATATATTTGCAATTTTGAAAGTTAAATAAAATTATTCAAGCAAACATTATTATGCACTCAGATGCGCTTTAACCGAAAATAGGATTGTCTAAATTTGATTTATTATTATGAGAGTCTAAATTTCATTTATAATTTAATAAAAGTTGTGTAATCGAAACTTCTTTGAAGAGATTGACCCTAAAATTTATCAAAAAAAAGAAAAAAAATTCTAGCGTGAAAAAGTGTGGTAATTTTAAGCACACCGTGTAGACAGATTGCACGTGACTCATGAAAATCTTCCTAGATTGATCGACCCGCACTCCCGAGTTCATTGAACCAAGTAGATATTAATTTCAGCCAGCAAGTTGCCATTACGTCTCTTTCAGTGCATCACTATCGTTTAATAAAAAAAACTAGCTGTTCTTTTCTTCGGACCGAAAGTGTCGTTTGCAATTTGTCGCTGATATAATTGTCGGATGTCGACGATTGGTTTATTTGAAATGTCACAACTAATCGACGATCGATGCCGACCTAGAACAGACGCGGACGATGCGGCGGCATCCTGAATTCCCGTTGAAACGTTCGACGGACGCGTGCAATAACATTTTCACTACGTGTCACACGTAGTGCAAATAAACGTCGATATATCATCGGGAATATGAAAGACTTCTTCTCCGCAACTTTCGCGTGATGAATAGCCGTCCGTCATCGTGCTCGACCGCGTGTCGGTGCATTTTATAAACGTGCCTCGACCTTTTCTTTCCTCGAAAGCGCGGCTTAAACGACGTTTTAACACAGAAGAACGATCGGAATCATTATTTTTATCCTTGACGTGCTTCAAACTTCACTTTAAATTTTGTTTTATCGTTAGACAGTAACTAAACGAGACCGACATTGATTTAAAATTCAAATTATTGATTTTCAATAAATACCAATTTCAATGCGTGAGAATGATCTTTACTCCTATGAATAATTTATTAAGATTGATAAATATTTTAACAACTGCACGACTTTTATTGAACAAATTACTACCAAATTATATTTTTAGTAGTTTACAGGATTGGATTGTATAAATTTATAAGGAATTATTTAAGCACTAAGGATCCAATTTGATATTGTTTAGGGTTTTTATTTATGATTTATTGTGTATTCACATCTCACAATCTTAAAAGATACCGTATTAATATTGATTAAATTTTTAATTCTTCATTTTTATTTATTATTTTTTATTTTTACGGTTTCTCACTTATCGTATTACAAATCTCATAGCTTTATGACATAATTGCCGTACGCTCGAATTACTGTACCACCTGTGCACAGGGTGGATCCGCCGCGATCCTGTACAAATCCGTTCACGAGAAGATCTTCACGCTGCCGCGAAATTACCGACTATACCCTGCACACGATTACAACGGTAGAACCGTCACCACCGTGGCCGAGGAGAAAGCCCTTAATCCCAGGCTGTCCAAGTCTCTGGAGGAGTTCGTCCGAATTATGGACAACCTTAACCTACCTTATCCCAAGATGATCGGTAAGTTTAGCAAAGGTATTTAATTTACTTGATGCAGCCAATCCTTTTCTATTACCGTCTTTATGTCAACATTAACATAAAATTTTGAAAAAGAATAATTTTTTCAAAATTTATATTTTCAAAGTTTTTAACAAATATTATTAACGTAAATAAATACAAGTAATTTTATTATAAAACTTTTGTATTAGACATTTGTCGATATCTTGAATAGTTTCTGAGATATTACAAAAAAAGCAAAAATCTTTAACTAAACCTTTAAAGGATGATTTGACCTCTTAATTGTTTTTCCGCACTGATACTTTTTAAATTCATATTTATGTATAAAATCTCCATGTATAAAAAGTTTTATTAAAATTAGAATTGTACAATTTGGGAGATTTCCTTATTGTTAAGCATTGTAGGGACTCAAACGCACAACGCCCTTGATAGCGATCAGGAATAATTAATGTATTGGTGGAACGAGGCTTATCTAGAATGCGTTATTATCGAAATGGTTCTCTCAAAGAAGCTAGGCGGTTGCACGAGTCCCATTGGGATATTCACATTCTATTTTTTGGGGTTGTGCATGCTCCGCTATCAGCTTGATTCGCTGATAAGCTAATAGCCGTCTTTAGGGTGTTACGGCGTCGTTCTCCTATCGGTACAGTCCGGGAAGCAACTGCTGAATCGAGAAGATCACGTCGGTCGAACGTGGTGCTTGATCACGTAGCTTCTTCTTACGAGTAAAAAGTGAAAAAACTCTGGAATTCCGAACAAATTTGCGGAAGTGGCGAAACTTTTTCCGACGCTTGAATCGATTGAATGAGATGTGAAGCGACGCAAAGCACAAGTTAAGCGAAAAATTTCACTGACAGTTATGTGATTGACGTTGAGAAGGAAATGATAAAAAGTGTCCCTTATGGAGCAAATTAAAATAGGATTTTGCACGAATCCATTTCGCGAGGTTTTCAAATTTTCAATATTTGGTATTAAGAATCGATTTCAAGAATGAATTTTCAAGATTGAATTCTTCTTATTCTCACATTCTTTTTTTTGTTTCCATCTCTTTGATTTAATTTTCACGTGATGCGATCTTAAATTAACGAAAAATTGATGATTATGATTTCACGGGAAGGAATATTTGCAGCCACTGTGTCGCCTTCGGGTAACTCTTCTTCGCGGCGCGTCTAAATATTAAATGTGAACAGAGACGCCGTTACATCCTGCTGGTGGAGCGAAAGGAAATCGATGAATTTGCTAGTTTGCATACCGTCGTATGTTGAATAAATGAACCTTTTATCTTACGGACGCATGAGCCAAATTTTGAAAAATGCACGAAGTAATATTAACAAAAAAAAATGAATTATTAAAATTATTTCATGTAATGTGTAAAAAATTGTATATAAGAGCAACGAATTATATGTATAATACGAATCGTTAGTTGAAAAGTTGAAAATATAAAATCGATAGAAAAACATTAGATTATTGTCCGCGTTTGACATGTACCATTTTTGCAACAAAGAGCTTGAAGGTAGTACGACGTTGTTTCAGATAAAGCTGTACCGGCCAACAAAGTTTGCGGTCTATATGAGGTGAAAGAAGAAAAGGATGAACAATGAAAATTATTGACAGCGCTGTAGCCGATGCACTAGCACGCTAGTATTGTAATTTTACACTCTATTAATAATTCATGGTCCCGATAGTTAACGTTCGTATGTCACGAATAGCGCAGGATTATTCCGTATTTTAACGTATATTGTTATCGATATTATTAACATTAAATGAGAAATAATCGCGAATCTTGTCAATTTGCCAACAAAAAGTATTCAAAAGTGATATAAGGCATGCGATATGATAATTTTTAATATATAATTCACGTATACATAGCAATGATATGGATGAATTATTTTCCTCTACTCTGGTTTTGCATGTGCGAGCACGACGTTATTTATTTATGTTTATATCCGCACTATTTTAACGTATTAGAATCTATCTAAAAATTTATGCGTTAAACGGCAAACAACTGCTATCTCTTTTTACATGTTAAAATTTAATTATGGCATTTTGTTTGTATGCTTTTCCGTACGAGCGTTTTATTCATCATAACAGTAACGTAACCGATAACGCGTATCAAATGAGCGCTTTATTTCATGTCCACACTTTAATGGGTTAAAATGCGCGTTTTATGCGTTTATTTCATGTCCTTTGAAGGATACGACATGTATATAAAATGTACGACCGAATGACGGAACGTTGTATAACATTCTTAATGGATGTAATTTTGTTTACGATAGAAATAAAATTATATTACGCAATCGCACATTAACCTTTTGCATCCGACGTATGCGTCATACAGTTGTTAAGAATTTTTGGGACAATTATTTACATTCTCATTTCGAATTTATCGAGAAATTTGCACGATTCCTTTTTTCCGTAGTTTAAACGGTGTCTCAGAATTACGACGTAATATTTTACGGACGATGTCTCCGAGGGCTCTCAAGTAGATTTTTCCTTAATGGAAATTTTTCCACTAGGCTCAATTGCCGGGATATTTCGCTAATTTAATTCCAGGAACTTAAAATGAATAACGAAACTTCTACGATTTTCGGGTGAGTTTTTGTTTTAACGGAAAGCTTTTACTTGTCGGATCTGCCCGCCGAAGGACGTAACGTTGGGAAAACGTAGACGATGGTTACTGGCCAAGTGAAATAATCGATCGAAATATTTTTCACTAAGCTCAGGGCACCCCAGGTTAAAATATTCTATGCATTTAGGATTGTCATCCCTTCGACCGTGTCGCGATGTCGCGACGCTTGCTCAAGAGATCTCTCTTGAACTGCCAAGTACCCCGTAACACCTCAATTTCGCAAATTACAGTCGCTTTGAGTCATCACTTACTTTGTTCTCGACAACGTACTCTGCGGGTATCGTCGTAATGTGCTTTTTTAACACAGTTGTGGTTGAAATTCTTATGTAATACATATGTAATACTTATGTACATCGATAGATTTAATAATAGAACTCTTAAACGCACATAGAATTTACTTCCTATAGGTTGAATGACAACATTCGATAATTCATCCATTTCGAATCGTCAGATTTTTTCAATATTATATAATGATAGAAGCCATTATCTCGTTTAAACTGTATTTACTTTAAATCTTCAAATGATTATCATTGCCACTCTGCACTATCATCGCACACAATCGCAGACCTATCGATAATCTCGACTGAATATTCCAATTATACTCTCATATAGCCGACACTCTCGCACCACGATAATGCAATCCACGTGTAATTAGGAAGATCCGCAAATCCATCATCTACTACGGGGATCGAGAGGCTATTTGCAGTTTGTGGTGCGCTAATAATAACTTTCGGGCCAAGAGGTGCATATGGTTTCGTAAATTGGCGAAACAGAGACGATTGGAACTTGGGACTATCAATAAGAAGAGAGAAAGACAGAGTGAGGGGAGAGAGTAGAGAGAGAAAGAGAGAGAGAAGGCAGAAAAGCGTTCATTGCTGGGTCCTAGGACAAACTCTCGAAGGACAAGAGAGAAAGAGCGGGGGAGGAGAGAGAGACAAGGCCCTTGTAATCGGGTTGTCGAAATCGGCTCCGTGCGCCTCGTCGAAACTCAGGGTGAAGAGACCCCCATGGTGCTGGTGCTGGTTTCCTACTGCATAGCTGAGGGTTGAAATCGATACCGTTTCCAGGGTAACCAGTACGGCTACGGTGCCCGACACACGGGCGAAGGCACACGGGCCAAGGCTACCTACTCATGCATTTTCATGTGCCCGCCGAAAAAGGCCAAAGACAAGAGCGTTGTTGGCTCGCTTGATGTTGATTCGCTCGCGCGGGCGAGTCGCGCGATCGAGTGACGAGGAATTTTCTGATTCTGGTGAAAATTTCAAAAGAATCCAATTTTCCAGAAGCGCGCGCTCTTCTCGCTTATCTAAAATTTCTGTAAAAAATATGATTTGACGTATACGCCTATTAATTTAATTTGTATTATTTAACTACGTTTTTTTCTCTCTTAAATTCTTCCTCTTAAATTTGCCTTTTACTCTTTCATATTACGAGATTGCTCACCGACGATCATAATAAAGTGCGGTTAAACAAAAAATTACTTTCTTTTCCGTTAGATTGTTTTTTTTCTTGTTTGAAATCAGTGAATTCGTTCCACGGTGAATTTTTTAGCCAAATATTGAAGGCTGTATGTATAACTTCGGTATTCGCGGATTTATTTTTTGATTATGTAGACGTGAAAAAAATACGCCTCATAGATCTCTGTCACGTTTTCATTGCCAGGGTTCAATTGCCAGGGAGAAGCTATGTTCTTGTAATAGTGAACTTTTAAACTTTTTCTTATCTTTACTTGACTTTTACGTCTAATCTTGCCTTTTTGTACAGTCTCTGTTATAACATATCCGTTCTTGTTTGACTTTGTGATCTATTGCTTACGATTGAAATGTGTTAGTAAAACTACGTGTCTTAATTAATATCAAGTTTCATAGTATCTAGACCTTCAGCGGATATTAATTTACGTTACTCATTATGTTACTTTTGAGTAGTTTACACACGGAAGAAACAAAAAGGGAATATAGCCGCACAGAAGCTCATCTAGTAAAACTTAACTCTAAGTTTAATAATATATAATATACAGTACATATTTATTCTATAAATTCTTTGAAGTAGAATTTTACTTTAAAGAGTAAAAATTGAGCCAGTCTTGAAAAAGAGTGGTTTAATTTTCAATCTTTAGCAGCAAGATTTCACTCTTCAGAGAGAGATTCACTTTCAAAGTTTTAGAGAGTATGTTCCCCTTTATTATTTTTTTTCCTTTTTCTTCAATCTAGTTAATGATAACTATTAATCTAGCGATATTAATAAATAAGATTTTCATTTCGTAAAATAATCAAGATATCGAGCAAATAAAGTGAATAATAAAAGAAACAAGCAACAATATTTCTTTCACGTCATTCACGATGAGGTCCTCGTTATCTGAGGCGGGTCCGGGCGGCACCTGCCCCATTTGTTCGTGTTAGAAGATACCGCGGTTTGTTCGCCGCATTTTATCGCAAGGACGGCCCTCGCGGTGTTATCACTGAAAAATGGCCGCGCTGTTGCGAGGAGGAGGACGGACCATCCGGTTCGGAACTTAATGCGTTACTTTGCGCAGCAGCGGCGACCCTTTCAACTCTCATTTCGCTATCTTTTTCGCTTTCATCACGAAGTTCGGCTTCAAGAAACCGCAATTTTGAAATACAGCGGTCTTTGAAGATCGTCTTTACGATTCGATAATTATCCTCAAAGAAACAGTATTAGGGCATGTTCCTTTCTCTCTACGAAATACAGCGGTCTTTGAAGACTCATGGCCGTCTTTACGATTCGATAATTATCCTCAAAGAAACAATATTAGGGCATGTTCCTTTCTCTCTCGCTCTCTTTCTCTCCATCATATTTTCCATCAGCATGACATAATGAGGAATGAGGTAGATAGACAAAGAGAGAGAGAGAGAGAGAGAGAGAGAGAGAGAGAGAGAGAGAGAAGGAAAGGGAAAAAAAACGAAAAATAAAAGCATGCCACAATTCGCGAGCTTGTAATTGATTCTGAAACGCGCAGGATTCCCCGCGGCCGCGTTAACGTATTATTTCAGTCCCACGTATCGTGACGTAGCTCCGTGAATGCGATACATCGAATGGCAAAATTACTATTTCGACGTGCGGAGCCAATTATCGTAGCCAACGATGTGTTGTAACGATTGCACGTAGTTACGCACGAGGGGCTCGATTACAAATATCGTTTTTTTTTTCGGTTACGATTTCTGCAAACAACGTTATGTTTATTTAACCGCATTTTATAAAAAATTTAGGACATAACTGGTCGTGCGGTCGAGTAATCGTCATCCGCTTTTCGCACAAATGTGATCATTTAATCAATGATCGTCTCGCACGTAATCGTGGAGAACATAAAAACCGTATAAATGTACGATATAAAGGAAGATGTAAAAAAAGCTATGAAAAGGAATTAAAAATTTACTTTAAATCCGAGCTCTGGATTATCATATATATTTTTCGAGCGGATGTGTATTTTAGTCCGCGAATGTCATTTTTAGCTTATATAAAGCAAGTTGAAAAAATCCGGGGGCTTACATTTAAAAAACTATTCTTTGGCAAAATGCATTTTTAATTAACATTCAAAGTCGACCGACGAAAATTTGCTAAATTATATTTTAATATAAATTAGCGGAAAGAGAGCGTCGCGTTATTGCAATACGCCATTTCCAAGCACTGCTTAGCGACTTGTGTTTCATTTTGCAGCGGATATCTGAATAAAATAATTCTAATTGGCGATACTACACTCGTTCTTTTTTAATTATTGTAATATCAAGTAACAATAAGTTAAACGATTTTTGCTGAATCTAATTCTAAAAACTGTTTGTCAGATTGAATAAGAGTTTCTGAAAAATAAAAATTTCTAAACATTAATTGAAAATATATTATCTTTTTTGTGGTATTTTTTTAACATAATATTTGTGTTACTCACTAATATATTCAACTTGTGTTAAATTAACACAAATTTTGAGTGAATCATCGATTTGGGACATATACGTGAAATATCAAATATATTAAATTTAATACAAATTTGCCAATGGTGTTACAATAAGCTAATCTATAACAGACGCAATTCATAACTGGGGTAAACTGAAAATTCCCATTAAAATTTGTAATAAATTGATTGTTCTCTTTCTTATCCCCCCTCGCACCGAATTAAATCTCGGTAATAATTAAGTCGTAAGGTGATGTTTTACTAACATTCGGAAGAACCAAACGTTTTAATCAAATCTGACCTCCCGCAGCTTAATTCGTTGAAATCCCTGTAATAGTTTTAACTCGAAACCCGTTAACGCACAGTATTTTTACGAAGAGAAATCTCTTTTCGTTATTTTCGTGTACGGAGCGGAGAAAATTCTGTTAAGGTAGCTAGTTGATGATAGCAAACGCGAGCGGCGTGCAAAAAAGCGTGAATTTAAGGAGATGTGACGGGAATCAAGGGATTTTTCGCTGTCGAAGGAACGACTTCCGTTCGACGGTTGCATCGAACAAAACATTTCCTCTTTTTAAAGGCGTATCTTGCGAATGCTCGCGCACACGTGATCCTCGGAGTCTCGGCGGAGGAATATTTGCGCGGGTGCTTCGTCGTTCTTACTCCCCTCGAGTGGTGCTCCATACAGCAGTAACATGATTTCTTTGTTACCTTATTGCAGTTGCGACAGCGGCAGTCGAGAATCCGTATCTACAGGTTGTTGAT